CGTTTGCGCGACAGAATTTGCAGAGGTAGGCGGGACAGCGTGGTCCGCCTGTTGTCAAATGGAGTTCTGTGGCGATAAAAAGATTGAAATAAGCTTTCGCCTATTGGTAATTACCTAGTGAACTTCTGCCATTTGGATAGATAAGCCAATTAATCACTTATCAAAACCGAGTTGAGGAAATCCAATAAAAGGGCTCTTGGAACGAAGCCTCCGCTAGAATTTGCATAAAAATGCAGGAACTTCAGGCGAACCACCTTTATGATTATTGTAGTCTTCGGATCTACTTGACGTTAGCTGTGGATTAGAAATCAGTAGAGCTATGGTCGTGCGTCGAATGATAGCCACTCCTTTTCAGCATACAACAATTTTATGAGTAAGACTCTCTATTAAGATCCGCTTGCAACATTGGTAGTTTGGGGATTTGCTATTCCCCTGTTCAATGCCAAATTCATCTGAAGTTCTCTTTCCACCGTCGTGATGGAACGCATTCGCTGTTGAGCACTCCTTGCAGTAAAATCTGAAGCTAATTCAATCAGCTTCGCTTCTAAGAGACTGAAGGTTTACCGCTAAGCCTGATCGTTTTCTGCAAAAAGGAAACGGAGCCCAGAGTGGACGTTGCTGGCCTATTTGCTGTCCTCAACTTAATAACAAAACGGAAATTGGCATTTTCATCTTGCACTCAGGATAGGTTGGTAAACGCGGCTTCCAAATGCCTGAACCTTTCCTGATTACAATCGAAAAGATGGGATCATAACATCGCTCGATGTTCAACCGTCTCGTGTTCAAACCTTTGCTTGAGATATTGCTGGTAAACCTCGTTGAATATACTCTCACAACTGTCTTATCCTTACTCAATAAAGTTTCGGGGTGATCCTTTATGACGGAATTTTGTTTTCACAGAACGATTCAAAGCCGTCCACGGACGTGCCCAACAATGTGAAGGCACACGACCAGCCCTCAAAAAACGCCGGCAGCGATGACGTAGCTGCCGCCTCTCCGCCATTGATCGATGATGCCAAAATGCACGAAATGGAGGCCCACCTTATGAAACAACTGACAAGTGTCATGTTGACCTCCCCCAGGAATCTTTCTACTTTAACACCGTCTAAACCTCCCAAGAAAAGCAAGGAAGACTATAAATTTTGGAAGACGCAGCCGGTTCCTGATCTGGGTTAGTTCCTTTTCTACTTCATGCGTCCCTGCCTCAGCGCAGGATTCGCTTCAGCCTTTTTTTATTCCTCGCGTTTGTAAGTACGGATAGAAGATCAGAATGCACTGCTCAGTAAGCAACTGTTGGGCTGAAGCTCGCAGCACACTATTCTAACTAATTTCTTTAGTTCCATATCATTTCCTGCGTTTTGCTGACTATTAGTCAAGCGGAATTACTGACAGGACATTTATCATCTTGCTCAGGGCGAAGCTTGTTTAATTGCCAACAGCACGCCTAAAAACTGCCTTTGATATTTTGGCTGATCGTCTACTGAGCTGCGTGAGCTGCGACGTACAACGACTGGTGCAGACACGATGTACTCTTCGGTCATTAGGCCTTCCCGGGAGGGCGAATGTGCAATTCATCAGGACTTCAATTTAAACCACGTCCAAATTCTTACGCCAAGTTCCAACAAATTCTTATCCCGCTGGCAGGCTTCAGATCGAGTCGCGGGTATATTGACAGTACAAACAACTGTATTTAGTGATTCCCCTTCCGAATCAGTCTCCCATAATGGCTTCCTTGTGCCGATTGCAATGGCGAAATTCCATAGATTGTTGTTGTTGCTGCTGCTACTGCTGCTGGGATCGCCCGTTCGCGTCAAAAACTCCAGTCACTACGGACAGTGGTGGGTGGTTGTGTGTGTATGTGTTCCCCGAGTCAGCACCCGAGGTACAGCCGCTTGGCGACTTTCGACCTCAACAAGAGGAACGTTCGTAGCTTTTGGGCGAAGTGGCGTTAGCAGGTGTCAGAGTTGAGTCGGCAGACACTGGAGAAAGCTGAGGAACGCGACGAGGAGGCGGCAGCGTGCAGCAACTACCGCGTGTAGGCGTAGTGTCACTATTTTTTTACTAGCCACTGCGTCTGAAGTACTTGCGCCTTTCTGTGCGTTCACAGTGGGTCCTCCTTCTACGAAGTCGCCCTATAGAAGCCCTCTGCATCGCGTAGTCCTCTAACGTCCTAGACGTTGTAGATTGTTCCCTATGTCCCGGCTGCACTATCCGATTTTATTTACAGGGGAGCATATTGACTGCCCGCGTAATCTCTACTGGTGTTGGCCATGTTTACCTCGGAAGGGGTGCTCGACAGTGCCGCCGATCGAATGTTGTATGATTTATGTGTCTGCCTAACGAATGCGCGGTAGTTCTGTTGGACCACAACGGCCTAAGGATTATTGACTCGACGCAATCGCGTCAACAGTACAAAAGGTAGCTGATGCGTATTTCACACAGACCTCTGCTTCACAATCGCCACTGGCGTGGTCGCTTGTTCCACGGACTGTACAGTAAAACAAAGTGGTTGCGTGTTGACTTAAAACGGACAAAGCTCGACAGGACTGAGTAAAATGGCCCATCTCCGTCGGCGAAGATTGGGTTTGTTCTTCACGCATGCGCTAGTTGTGACACTGATTCATCTATCTTATTAGCAGAGCCTCCGACGCGGTCGTTGCTGACGTATGGGACACTAAATGGCACCCACTTTGTCCACTCTCCTAGCTACTTCTAAAACCAACCGACCTGAAAGGAAGACGACTCTCGTTTCCTGAGAATTCGCCATCTACGGCATGAGCATGGTCATCTTAAGTGGCACTGGTTTCTCGGACTAAGTACGGCTGAAAAAGTTAAGAGTAAAGTACACCTTCTCGATCGGTCACCGCCGCCGCCGCTGCCGCGGAGTCAGTTTTATCATCAGAAATGTTGTGATAAAGAATTCATCCGTCCCATTAGAAATCAAAGACTAACTCGTGGCCATGAGACCACCGCTTCATGAGAAAAAAGTCGCCGCCGTCATTAGCGTCTGCACTTTTAGTAGTGTCAAGTCATACGCGTTGAAGGACTGTGCCTGCGTTGAAGGACTTGTGTCTGTGGCGAAGGTGGACAAGCAAATAGTCCACACAGATAATGAGAAGACGACTCCATCGCTGGGGCCATACTTTTATTTGCCCGACTTTTCGAGAGCCGTTGCGGATTCGTCATCAGAGACATAGTCAGATAGCAGTAGTAGATATGGGTAGCGTATGCACATGGGTTTGCAGTATTTGTAGGATACAGTCACTACTGCAAAGAAACAGAGATAATAAGCTGAGATAATGAACACAGTCTTCGAATGGGTAGTGTATTGTCACAAAGAGACCTAGGGCAATAGCAGCAGGCCTGCATGCCAAACAAGCGGTATGAGATGACGAGATCGTCAAAGCGATCTACGACCCGTAACCGACCAGAACTTCATCCTCCGATGGGACAACAATGCTCCTGTAATAACTCTAGGTATTGGAGCACAGGAATCCCCTTAATCATCCGTCTTCAGACTACGCAAGCACGACAAACAGACTTGCGCAAGTTGAAAGTAACAAGAAGCAATCTTAACTTGCA